GACAAATGATCTGGAACTAAATATATTTTGGCCGGAGTAAATTGCTGGTCATCGGAAGCTGTTTGTCACGGATTACATCCGTGACAAAAGTCTGTCACGGATTTTTGTCACGGAAATATCCGTGACAAACCCTTCATGACAAACCAACAATATCTGTGACAAAGCCCGTGATAAGTTTGTCACGGCCCGGATCCGTGACAAAAAGCCATGACAAACGGGTTGTTTTTTTTGTAGTGCGAGAAGCCTCAAGTTATCTACTTATTTTATGTGCGCAAATATGGACATTTCTCTCTTTCTTTGTACTATATGTTAAGGATGTTTTTACTTGGACTGTAATTTGCTGGTCTGGTCTGGTCTGGTTTCTTTGTATTTTTATAACTATCCAAGTCTGATCTGGTCTGGTCTGGTCTGGTCTGATCTGGTTTGATCTGGTCTGGAACGAATTACAGTCCAAATAAAAACATCCTAAGTGTCATCAATCATCATAAACATTGTTTGGTCACATGTTGATCTTAAAAACACGTGGATAAACATTCTATGTCGTTTCACTCAATTGTCCACTTGGATAAATACATGCATTGTTTTATATTTTGCCTAAAATTATAAATCATACTCCCTTCGTTTCTGAAACAAGTTCCACATTTAACTTCACACATATTAAGAAAATAAATTTGACTTTACTGTGGAGTGCACTGTTTGGCACTTTTTGAACATTGTTTGGCACTGTTTGAACACTGTTTGACATTGTTTTGATGTAGATAATTTGCCAAATGAGGAAATGTTTAAAAATGGAACTTAATTTTGAATCTGCCCGAAAAGGAAAGGTGGAACTTGTTTCAGAAACGGAGGGAGTAGAAGCAAGTGGCTCTACAATGCTAAATTTACCATCACTCACCAATTCTACAATAAATTGTTTGTTGGGAGATTTCAACAAGTATGAGCGAAACGTACGGTTTTTCAAATTAAGACCGAAGATTAGCATAAGACTCAACTACACATGAGACGATGAGATCAAGTGGGAGAAGAAGAACACATTCTCCACAAATTCAATCGAACCAGAGACGGATTGCAAGTGTAGGTTTCTGACTTTTCGCCAATCAGATTTACATCCACCAGATTTCTGGATTTGTACCGCCGCACCAATCTGTCCTTCAAAACTTAAATCGAAGGTAGGAATCGAGGGTTGAGGGCTTAAAGGCTGTGGAGGAGGAGGTGAGGCGGAGGTGAAGTCGGAGGTCGCAGGTCCACGAGGTGAAGGGTAAAATTGGAAAGAAAAAATAGAATTTCCTGAAATAGAATTAAGTAAATCACACGGATGGAAAAAACATGACCAAGTCCTATTTTTGTAAACTTACATTGATTTAGTCTTACGAATAGCACTTTTCTCTTGTTTGTTTCCATGCTTACGACAGATTTATCTTTGCTTTTTATTTTTAGAAATTGCTCTAAAGAGGAGCAAAAATGTTTTGAAATTACAAAATATGAGTATAATGTTTTTAATTTCCTGAATATGAGTAATCTGTCAAGTTTGGAAAAAAATATCATGTATAAATCCTATTAATGCCAAACTTGGCAGAAATTTACTCCTATTCAAGGAATAAAAAAAACATGATACTCCTGTTTTGGAATTTCAAAACTTTTTTAGAGGAATTCTCTCTTTTATTTTCGATCTTCATACTTCCTAGTTTTTTGATTGTTATGATTTGAGATTCACCACTTGAGATTGTGAATAAGGTTTATATTTGGAGAATACAGTATGAATGTATGTCCATTGCCCGAGATTATAAATTCATCTTTGTTTTTTCGTACCTCCTTGAACCACAATTTAATTTGTGTTTGTGTTCTTCGGAGTTCTTCCATAGTTCCACTGATTAAAAAAAACAGTTCGGAATAATGGGAAAAGGTGCAAATAAGCCCTCATACTAACCGAAAAAAGTGCAAATCACCCTTTTTATAGGAGGATCTGTCCGGCCGTCACCATTTGGGGTGGTTCCCGGTGGAATTATTTGATGAATGTTTTTGAGCATATTCTTCATTAAGTCTAGTTTACCCATACCAAATTGTACCTAAAAATGCAATCGGGAAGGCAGTCAAATAAATGTTTGAAGATAACTGCGCACTTAAACAGCGCAGTATATTTCAGAAAATCATTTGACTTCCTTACCGTTTGAATTTTTAGCTGAAATTTGGTATGGGTAAACTAGACTTAATGAAGAAGATGCTAAAAGTTATTTATCAAAAAAATCCACCGGGAACCGCCCCAAATGGTGACGGCCGGACAGAGTCTCATATAAAAGGGATTGTTTGCACTTTTCCAGTTAGTTCGAGAGCTTATTTGCACCTTTTCCCCGAAATAATTGATCATGAGCTATAATTTCAGAAGTTATAATCTTATACTACCCTGTCCTGAATTTAGGCACATAAATTTATATGATAAAATGTTGTTTTTATTTTCTAATCATACCCCTATTTTAAGCAAACCGTGTAATAATGTAAGTATATGTAGTTTTGACATTTGCTATTGAAAAAATACTTTTTGTGAAAATGACAGATTTATTTTGGGACACTAAAACAATGGGAATATATATGTCTAAATCACGCAAGGGTGTTGATGTGAATGTTGTTTTTGGTTTATTTTAGAAAAAATGCAAATAAATGCAAAATTGTGAATGTTAAGCGATTTAAGAACATTGAGAACGGCATCACATGTTCACGATTATGTAATAAGGGGGTTTTCAGAATTATGGGGAGTATAAATGATGTGAAATTCGAAAACATGAAAGTTATGTTTTCCCCTATGTAAGAGTGCATTAATGATCCAGAAATAATAAGTTTTGATATTAACATACATTAATATGATATTAATTGTTCATATGAAAAAAATCTAACACTTAGGACACGTTTACTTCACGGGTTAGTAAACGGTGCTTATTAAGACTCGCGTTAATAAGCGGTGCATAAAATAAGCAATGTTGTAAGCTCATGTTTACTTCAAAGGATTTAAAATACCGTTTAACATTAAAATGTCCAAAATAACCCTATAGATATATACACACACAAACATTCATGAACACAAGTATATAATATAATATGTGGGGTCACCTCGTACGCTTAGTCGCTTACCCACACCCCTAACCCATACCTGCCCTGTACCCCCACCCCTCACCCTACCCCCAATTCTACACCCTTGACTCCCACCCCTTTCCTACCCCTACCCTTACCACGACCTTACCCTCCACCCCTACTCCCACCCATACCAACCCCCCACCCGACTCGTAAGGGTTGGGTCGAGGTGGGGACAGGTGATATGGGGTAAATGGGGTAGGGGTAAGGTGGGGGTGGGGTATGGTCGGGTCAATGGTGGGGGTGGGGTCGGGGGGTCAGGGTTGGGATTGGGGTCAGGGGTAGGGTCGATGTAGGGGCAGGTGGTGGGGGTAAAGGGTAGGGTCAAAGTAAGGGGTACAAGTGGGGGTAGGGGTAGGGGTAGGGTGGGGGTGGGGTCGGGGTAGGGGAGGGGTGGGTCGAGGTAGGACCAGGGGGTAGGGGGCTAGGGGTGGGGTCGGGGTCGGGTTAAGGTAGGGGAAGGTGGTAGGTGGTAAAGGGGTAAGGGGTGAGGGTGGGTGGGGTAGGGCAGGTGGTGGAGGGTAGGGGTAAGGGGGCTGGGATGGTAGGGTAGGGGTTGGGGTAGGGGTTAGGGTGGGTTGGGGTAAGGGCTAGGCGTGGGTCGAGGTAGGGGCAGGGGTAGGGGTAAAGGGGTAGGGTAGGGGGTGGGGTCGGGTCAGGTAAAGGTAGGGGAAGGTGGTAGGGGGTAAAGGGTGGGGTGGGGTGGGGCAGGTGGTGGAGGGTAGTGTCAGGGTAGGGGTAAGGTGGGGGTGGGGTATGGTCGGGTCAAGGGTGGGGGTGGGGTCAGGGGTCGGGTTGGGGTCGGGTTAAGGTAAGGTAGGGCGGGGTAGTGGGGTAGCAATAGGGTAAGGGCAAGGGGTAAAGGTAAGGGTAAATTCGGAAACCGAAAAAGCTTAAAGTGTCGCTTAATTAATACATGAGGGGTGGTATGCTTAGTAAGCGCCACTTTAAGCACCTCTTTCGGTTAGTAAGCAGTGTTTTAAGCAACTTGCGTGTTTACTTCACCTGTCTTACTAACCTAATTGTGACTTTAACAGTGAAGTAAACGCCTCCTTATAGTTTAGAATTTCTTATATCTAAATTTTTTGAAAAAATACCTAAATAGAACTAAAAACAAGGACAAGGTTCATGATTGTAAAGGGAAATTTCCATAATATGAGTAGAGATGTTTAAGATTCCGAAACAAGAGTGTTAGCATTCCGAAACAAGAGTGTTAGCTCCTCATCTATAAGAGTACGTATCGTATAATCTAAAATTAATTGTCATATTTTAATATTATCAAGCTTAAAACAAGAGCATCTCCAATTATCAAGCTTAAAACAAGAGCATCTCCAATGCAAAAACATGAACGATGATGCATACATGGTCTTAGAGATACTCAATTAAAAAACAACAAATAGAATATCTCTCTCCTTACTTGAACGATCTTATATGTTTTTGGTAAGTTTTTCTCTACAATGTCAAGCACAATGTCTAGATGTAGACATTGTGGTTGACATTGTTGAGAAAAACTTACCAAAAACACATAAGGCCGTGAAAAGAAGGAGAGAAATGTCATTAATTTAATTTTTGTGTCTATCTCTCTCCTGCCACGTGTGCATCGTGCATATTATAGCATTGAAGATGTTCTAAATAACATTATTTTCTAAACTTAACCATAATTACTCATATTTGAGGAATAAAAATATATCACTCCTTCTTTAGAAATTTCAATCTTTTTTACTTATATTTAGAGTATTTTCTTTAAATAGCATTGTTTTACTTCCCATATACGGCCCATTTACTCATATTTTAGTAATATTTTGATTGATTTATTTTTCGGTAGGATTAAAAAGATGTTATTTTTAAAATACAACATAGTTGTACCTCTGAATTTCTTAAACATTTCTCATATTTTGATTTTTGACAGCAATTTCTTCTATTTTCATTGTTACCAATTTCTTTTCACGGAACGTTTTTCACTTGCATCGATTCGGACACAAACGTACAATTCAATCTTTCTTCGTGCTGTGCGATCTGAACTGAGCGGATGGAAATGGATATGGATCCCACCGGCTACTCACCGGCCTCCGTTACGAGCGCCGCCTCAACTGCAGCCACTCCTGCCGACCCATCCGCAGCCGTTGCCTCATCGAAGCTAAGCCAACTGACGGAGTCTTTGAAACTGGAGCACCAGTTTGTCCGCGTCCCCTTCGAGCACTACAAGAAGATAGTCCGTTCCAACCACCGTATCATTGAGAAGGAAGTTTCATCCGTTATTTCGGGCGTCGGAGACGCCGCAGAGTCTGACATCACCAGCGACGAAGCCACGCAACGCCTGAATTCTCTTGTCTCCAGGCTGCAAGGGCTTAAACGGAAGGTATCGTTGTTAAATGATAAGAGAATTTAAGTTTAGTTTATGAATACTTTTTATATGTTTACACGTTTTCTGTTAGTTAAATTCGTTTATTGGGCACTAGTTGAGATCAAGACATATAGATAAAAACATGTAAGATGAAAATATATAGGGAAAATTCCTGAAATTGGACTAAAAACGTTTTTGTAATTTCAAAATATGAGTATTATGTTTTTATTTTCTAAATAAGAGTAATTACGTTGGAAAATAGTGTCATGTTCAAAGTCTGGTAATGCCAAAACTTGGTAGTCCTCTTTTGGAATTCAGAAAAGTTTTTACTCCTATTTAGGCCAATTTCATAAATATATACTACTCCCTCCGGTCCTAAATAAAGTTCAGTGTTTGACTTCACACAAATTAAGGAAATAAATTTGATTTTACTATAGAGTACACTGTTGTAACACTGTTTGGCACTGTTTTGATGTAGATAATTTGTCAAATAAGGAAGGGAGAAGAAGTGTGAACTTTATTTTGGACCGGCCCAAAAAGGAAAGTGTGAACTTTATTTAGGACCGGAGGGAGTACTTCTGTTAAGAAAGGTCTGGTGCCACACTGCCACCCATATTGAGAAAGGTCTAAATTAGTCAGCCTACATTAAATTTATTTTAGTATTAATGAACTTGGACCATACAACCACTATGAAATATATGAGAGAAATCTAGTTGGATGGACAAAAAAAGAAAGATGGATAGAAATAGTGGGATGGAGGGCGTCATACAGAACATGCATGACAATCGGTAAAGTGAAGGGTTGAATTATTTGGTTGTGTTTGCTTTGTGCATAATAATTTGCACTACCTATAAATATTGATTTTATTTGTATGTGAGGATGCAGTACCCATGCACAAATATTTAACCGCATTGCTTATAAGTTTATTTTATCTTCCAAATAATAAGTTGGAAGAGGGCAGTCAAATAGAGGATATGCAAGCACAGAGATGCCGAGCACGGCTGGACCACTTAGAATCAATGGACGCAGAAAATTTATCAGTTTGGAACCGCAACAGGTTGAACCGTATACTAGTGGATTACATGTTGAGGATGTCATACTATGATACAGCCACAAAGTTTGCAGAGCTTAGCAATATTAAGGTGGCTGATTCTATTACCTTTTTTTCCTTTTCCTCAAAGAATGGTGTTCCAGTGCATAGATGGCTTGTAATGGTAACTAAATTGTGTGCTGTGCTTTCTAGGAGCTTGTTGATATTGATGTATTTTATGAAGCAAAGAAGGTCATTGATGCTCTTCACAACAAGGAGGTAGCCCCTGCTTTGGCATGGTGTGCTGAAAATAAGGCCAGGCTGAAGAAATCGAAGGTACATGTGTGCACCTGTGTAGTGTAAAATGCTTGCTTAATGTATTTCTAGTTTTCTACTACTTTCTTGTATATGATACTTTTCTGTAGAGCCTTTGTTATTCACACAATCTCTATAACCGTGTAATTTTGCATTGCGCAAGGTAAGCTCTGTTTCTCGTGTCGGGTAGCTTGTGTCACCTATCTGAAAGCAGTTCCATTCTGCTGATGAAATTTGGTTTTAACAATGGAATGTCAGAAGCAATTAGTGATATTTATTTATTTTTGGCAGAGCAAATTTGAGTTTCAATTGAGACTGCAAGAATTCTTAGAAATGGTAAGAGCTGAAAACATGATGCGAGCTATTATGTATGCCCGGAAGTATTTGGCACCTTGGGGGTCCACCCATTTGAAAGAGTTGCAGAGAGTCATGACCACACTTGCTTTCAAGAGTAATACTGAATGCGCAATATACAAGGTATATGAACCTTTTATCGCATGGGCTGTTACACATGGAGATTTGATTAAAGGGAAGATTGGTCTTTGAACCCCATGATTTAGCCCAATAGTTAACTTTGCACCCCATATTTTATTTTCTTTGAATATGCACCCAAAGAACCAATTTTCCCTTTGATTAACCATCTTAAATGTAGTCTGTTACTCTGTTTCCCTGTAGTTATTCCACCATGGAAGATATTTCTTGCTAATAACTTATATTTGCACACTGGATCTTCATGCTAATAGTTCTCAAGATGTTATCGGTCTCCATGTTTAATGGAAAATTATTTGTATGCTTGGTTCACTTATATTTAGGTACTATTTGAAGCCAAGCAATGGGATTACCTAGTTGACCAATTCAAACAAGAGTTTTGCAAATTGTATGGCATGACTCTTGAGCCTTTGCTGAATATATACCTTCAAGCAGGCCTCTGTGCCCTGAAAACTCCGTATCCATATCATACATTGTTTTTTGTTTCTACAGAATATGTTTCTTCAAAACGCACTACTCAACCTTTCCCCCTTCTTTTTTCAATGATTTAAGTTGTGTGGGGTGCTCTGTTGCATGGTTCATGGCCAACTAGGTAGCACAGACACCCCTAAACTAAATTATGTAAAGTTCACGTCGGTTTTGTAACTTTAAATCTAAATCGGCTCCTATGGCACTATGGTTAGACTGAATAGTTATAAGGATTTTTTTGTTAGGTGTGTTTCAAATGATTTATTTTTAAGAGTAAGTGTGGTTTACAGGAGCAGAATTACTTTTTACTTCAAAAAGGAGTGTATGACCAGAAATTAGGAAAGTGCGTTTAACACTAATATAAAAATTCATGCTCGTGATTTTTATAAAAGCAGCAGATCAATGCGTTTCTTATGAAAACACTTTAAGTCCTTATACAATACCTCGCATGGTGCCGTGCTTTTTCAATGGCCAATGGTTTGTTGAAATCTAGTGTTGCCTTTTACCGTATGGGTTATTCCTATGTTGTTGTCTTGACCAAGTTTAGATTCTGTTACGAAGATGATTGTACAAAGGAGGACCCCCTGTCACAGGAAAGTTTCCGCAAATTAGCACAACCGCTACCATACTCCAAACAGCGTCATTCAAAACTTGTTTGCTTTATTACGAAGGAGTTAATGGACACTGAAAATCCTCCACTGGTCTTGCCAAATGGCTATGTCTATAGCAGTAAGGTAGGTTGCTGATATTTGTTGTGAACTTATAGGGTCTGTTTTGGAACTTGCACAATAATAGGGAAATAAAATATGGAAGAAAACAGTGGAACTTCGGAATGAAAAGAAGTCGGAAAAAGTTGCTTCAAATTCAAATATTCAATATATTGATCTAATGATCTTAGATACTTGTTCGGACGCATTCTAAAGTGCTCCGTAGTATTTTAAAAAAAATGTTAAATACATTTATAAAAAATCATTAAGGTATTAAAAGTAATAGAGATTAATGATCAAATCCAAAGAAACTTTTTTGTTTTCTCCCCTTTCTGAGTTCCATTTTCCGAGTTCCAGAAATATACAGCAAGGGGTTGCTGTTTAATTAATTAATTATTACAAGTATTATGAGTTCTGCTTTTATTTATAATAATAAATGCTGGAAGGCTCTTGAGGAAATGGCCAAGAAGAATGATGGAAGAATCACGTGCCCCCGTACTGGCGTTACCTGCAACTACACAGATCTAACTAAAGCCTATATTTCCTAATGAGTGCAAGCTTCTTCAGACTTCTGCTTGAAATGATTTGTGGGAGTCTTCTGGTTTTGATCTTTTACCGAGTGGCTATGGGCTAAACATCACACCTGTACATACACGCTATGCATACTCTGTAATTATTTGTTTTTTATATACTCTGTATGTGTTTGTTCTGTAACAGAAATTGCATTTTCTGTGATACTTATGATTTAGTGCTTCAGTTATATAATCCAGTAATAAAAGTATTCTTCAATAAACCATGAAATTTACCAATAATCAAACGGCCTGAGAATGTAACTCTTTCTATTTTAACTTGATGTATAGTGTGCTATTAATATAGGAATGGATGTTGGTTAGTATTTGCTTAGACATCAGTGATAAATTTGAGATATGGAGGCATGGAGCATTGTAGTTGAACTTGTATTAAAAAGTAAAGGTGGGCAGTATAATACTGCCCGAACATCATATGAATGGTCCGGGCCTCAAGAATCCCAAAAAAGCTTGGTTAGGCCCGGCCCGAGTCCTGGACCGGCCCGGGTACATGCCTACTGCAAAGGAATACATTCTGAAATTAGCTGCTCTTACTTCATTTTGAAACGCGGCTGTATCATATATGTTGTCTAAAATATGTTTTGAACCCTATCGCCGAAATAGAATCTGAGAAGTGCAAAACAACTAAGTTGTTGTAATTTTACATTCAGAGGAAAAAATTCACTTTTTTTATCTATTTTCCAATGGAGTTAAACTCACTACTTTTTGAAAAGAATAAAACAAAATAGCTCATTAAACTATTTTTTGGACGTGATTTTTAATGAATTATGTCCAGTAGTTAGTTGGACAATGAATTTGATGTTAGTCAGAGCATCTCGGATCTCTTCTTTCACGTGTAAAATTTTGCCAAATGTCAATTAAAGAGGATACCGTGTTATCCACATAAAATACAAATTGAAGGAAATACGAAGGAGATCAATGTCAAGACATTACTACCTTGCATCATTTAATGAATTCCAACATAAATAGAATAGGAAAGAAACTTGCGGCAAACAGTACCCTATATCTCCATTTCATCTTCTCTTATTTACCGGTGCACGTTAAGCTTGAAAATACGAAATGATTAACCAATTTTAATGATTTAGCAAGGTAAACATTAGAGATGCTTTTGCATTAATAGTAAAAATAAGATCATAAAAACTCCGTATATATGGTCAAATGATTTGGTTCAATAACGGTTTGAGATCGCTGTACTATGCAAAAAGAACATCACATTTTATAACACATAAATCAATTCAGTAGCATTACTAATTACTATCCAATTTGATACCATGCTTCATAAAATAATTTTAAAAACTCACTTTCTAATTTATAAATGTGAAAGTAGATGTATTCTTATCTCTAAATCCACTCCATAGTCCATATCAGCCGACTCAAGCAACATCAGAAAATAAGTTAATGACAATTTTAACCCATAAACAGAAAAAAGAGCTTGCTAGTTATCAAACATGAGTTAATACTCCGTACTAAATCTCATTCCCTTCAGATCTGGCTCCGTAATCAGATCTAACCAGAATGGCAGCAAAAAACTAGGGCCTGATCATACTTTTTGTTCCTGACAGAACCAGTATCTAGGAACTAGTCTAAACCAGTTCTGGTTCCTCCAAAATAGGACCAACCCAACCAATTCAGCAAGTGGTTATGGTCTATTTAATAAAGTAAATACAGCTCGAAATTAAAACCAGACCAGGATTATACAGTCCTAGACTCCTAGTTACATATATCCTTAGGGTAGGCCAAGAAACCAACCAGTCCAGAACCAAAACCAGACTAGACCCTACCTGTGTTGACCCCTAGCCTCAAGAGTTTAACTGCACCAAGGCATTAGAGCAACCATAGGTTTATTAATGATTGTAGCACAATGAGCCTCAAATTACACAAAATTAGTTCAAAACCTCATCAAAAAATATGTTTCAAGTCTTGCTGGTATAAAACAATTATGGTTCTAAAATACACATAGTTGCAACACATATATAACATGAACCAAATCAAGGGGACACGCTCTCCTCCCTCGGAGACCCATGTTTTTCCTCATCATACTCATCTTCATCCTGGGGACTAGCATTATTATCCATAGGGATAGGGCTATTACTACGAGAGCGCCCATTATCTTCCTGGGGACTGCTAGTCTTCTCATCAGCATCAGCATCAGCATCATCATCATCATCATATCTTGGGTCGTCCCTTTCAGTTTCATCCTCCTCCTTGGGGCTCCCGTCATACTCACCATTGACTGGCATGTTGTAGTCCCTTGGGGATGGCATTCCTCTTTCTTGGGGGCTTCTTTTTTCAGGTGTGGGGCTAGGCTTTTGTCCATTTGGTGATGCTGGTGGTGATGAAGACTTGTTATTATGCATCGAGGGGCTCCTGGACCTTCTCTCTTCCCGCTCAATGTTTCGCTCCCTTTTCACAGGTGATCTCGACCGGCTGTCAATAAATATATCAAGTGTTGATAAGATCATGCAGGCAAAGAGCCCATTTGGCAAGGCCTAGAATGCTTTTATGTGGCTAACCTACTGAAGTTGTAGGTGAAATTACTGAATTGTCAAAAACAAACTTTTAATAGATTTGAGAAAATACAATAAATACTACGGAGTATGAGTTAAAGTTGAAGTGTCATTTTCATTAACTTCAGCTCATTCCGCCAACATCATGACATGAGTTACTTGTTTGTAACTTTAAGTGTGGGGCTTCATACTTATTTGGATTATGAAATAATGTTTTTAAAGTACTTACATCAATGTGTCAGTTGGACAAGTTGATAACAAAACCTAGTGCACAAATTACTTTTTGGCTGAAGTTAGATAAATGATCCCACCAAACAGGCTCTTAATGGAGTGACAAGTGACTTAAATGCAAAAACAGGTATGGATGAGGGATACAATAGAAGAACCTGTAACTACGACCCCTGCTGTGACTACGGCTTCGGTTCCTTTTGCGAGGTGGGGATGGTGAGCGAGAGTAACTCCGCCCACGTCCACTATGACAAAAAATATGTTCATCATTCCTCACTCAACAGGCGTTCACATTGATTCACATTGATTGTCATGAATTGATGATACATGAAATAAAAGTATAAACAAACCTCAGCTTCTTAGGGCTGTTTTGACAGTTCCTTTCTATATGTCCTCGATCCCCACAACGGTAGCATTTGTTCTTCCAGTCCCCAGCCTTGCAATCTCGAGCCCAATGCCCATCAAGGCCACAATTGAAGCAACGTCCCGCTCCTGGAGGGGGGCCTCGGCCCATGTAATCACGAGATCCACCGTCACGATAGCCGGTATCACGATACCCGACATCACGATATCCGCCAGCACCACGGGGTACCTATGAAAAGAAAAATAACATTTTAGAAACCCAATAGAACATTATGCGCATAACGAAGGCATAAGAATATCTTTAAAAGGCAAACAAGTCCAAGAGAATCATATCACAGAGATGGGAAAACAATGATCCCATTTAAACAAAACATGGCCAGACGTTAGAAAACATAATGTGTGTTCCTTGTACTGCTACATGCCTACATCACATATCCCAAAACCAAAATGCACAGAAGAGCACATAGGACACACCAATAACCTTCAGCTTAGGCTAAGTTTGCTTCCAGGAAACATTTTCTTCTGAAATGCCTTCAGAATTGATATGTATTTGTCAGGGCAATACATTTTCCTGGAAAGATTCTTTAAACTATTGAAAAGGGAAAGCTATTCTCATTGAGTTAATTATATTTTGTGCTATATAGTAAATACTACTGTATATATTTATAAATAAAACAGCTAATTTTCTAATTTACTAACTTTCACTGAAAACAGTTTACTCAATCATCAACTTATTATCTTGTAATCAAAAGAACCTTAGATAATTGGTAAACGGAAACGGGAATGTAGTGGGTAAACCATAACATGACATAAAAAAGGTAAAATCAATAGAAATCTATGAAAATGATGACCAGCAATCAACTTAAAATCACTTCAATCTCACCCCTTTGGCAATCTCCACTATAATGCGACTCCCATCAAAATCCCTTCCATGTAAGCTATACCTGGCATCTTCAGCATCTCGAGGATCACTGAATTCCTGCATTTTCCAGTTCAAAGGAGAAGAATCACAAGAGCTCACATCACGGTTAGCAAGGCATGATAGAGAGGTGACAGAATTAATGATTGGATGGTAAATCACCCAATCTCAAGAAGTGAAAAGAAGAAATGTGTACCACAAATGCATAATCACGCTTCATGTCCACATCACGTACTCTGCGCAAATTGGATCCAGAAACAATAAGGCCATCAAAGTCATAACAACGGAAGGGTTGATAGTTTGATACTTCGCCACTCAAAGATGGAACTTAAACACCACTTTGGGATTGTTGCCATTTCCATCAAAAAAACACTCAATAACATTATAGAAAGAATCGCCACTCTCAGCAAAAATAGCGACCAATTCCACCAAGGGGCAACCTCCCACCACAAACCTCCGGGCAAAAACACAAACCTTCAGAAACATCATTCAAATTAAAAGGGCCTGACAAAATGGGACAATGTTTTCTCCCCTAGATGCATTTTGAATAGAAAATCCAGTTAGAATAACGGACTGTTCTTCTCCAAAACCCATAAAGTCCTCACCGCAGACAAAACACAAAACTGGACCACCCATACAAAAATCTATTATATCACACAAAGTGGTCACAGTCACACTATACATGATGACCATACCATATAAATTACTTCAGGACGAAAAAGAAATAAGCAATTTTGAACCAGACTAGCCCATACAATTACTTTTAAACCTTCGCAGTGCCAACTCTATAAAATAGGCACTAAGGAGAAAGCTCAAAGAAATGAATTTTACCTCCCATATCTGCTAAATACGTGCTCCAAGTCACGGGTGCGGGTCCTGGAAGAAAGATGGCCTACATAGAGGCGGGTTCCTCCATAACGGTCATCGTATCGAGGCATTTTACCTGATCTAACAATTCAGTACCATAATTATATGACAACAATTTAAACCTATATTATTGCTATTACATATATAATACATCTGCACATAACATCAAAGGGATGTAGGAATGCTACAGCACTGGCAAGCATCACATATAAGACTGAGGAAATCTATGGAATTCGAAAATCTTATGCCTAAGGATTAAAATTAAATACGCAACCACAACTGAACTATCTCGTTCACATCTTCAGATATAATATAAAGTCACGGATATTCCTATAGTCGCACATATAGAGGAGTGGGATATCTGAATACGAAAAAAGAAATACAATTGAATGACTAAAAGAAGATAGAAGATCAGCTTACCTGAAAATGCGCAGGTGGAAGAGCCCTAAATTACACTGCGTAATTTTATTCTATTCTCCCAATCTCCCACTTGAAAAGGAAAATGCTAAGAGTCTTTCTTCGTTTTATGCGCAAGGAATTAGGAATCTATTCGACTTGTAAATGGGCTTTGATTTCAGTAAGGCCCATTATTTTTGTAATATTTCATCTGTAATTTATCAAAATAGGCTAAAATTGAAAACAATATCACATTTTTCACCAATGTTGTTTTTAAAAATAGACAAAGTTTCCTTTCATAAATAGACTTTCTACCCTCCAGTTGTGCACATCTTTACTCTTTAAAAGTGCAATTTGGTTGCTAAAAGGAAAGTACACTCATGCCACCTTAATAAGCAAAGTGTTATCTCCAAATTTAATCTTAAAAGTATATAGTATAAAAATAAAATGAAAATGAAGTATTTTTCAAAAAATTAAATATATGAATATAATTAATTTAAAAAAAAGAGTCATAACATCTAAAATAATACTAAAATTATTCTAAAAAAGAAATAAATAAAAATCATAAAATTAAGAAAAGTGTGAAGGATAGATTCAAAATTAAAATAAAATATATAGGAATTATCAGAAAACTTCAAAAACTAAAAAAAGTTTTAACTAGTTTTCTTTTAAACCAGTCAAAAATTCAAGGGGTTATCCCTTAATATTACTAAATTAAAATGAATTTCCAAAAATGTGAGTACTTTTAAAAATTGACAAAAAAGTGACTAACAAGATCGTATAGATGCAAAACATAATGTCACTACACAATTTTGTCACTGCGTTTTTTTATGTCACTGAAAGTGGTTACCGTCAGATTTTTCTCAAGTCAATTACACCGCCATAGTGACACCCTCACCGGTGACATCGTCATAGTGACACCGTCATAGTGACACCGTCATAGTGACACACCCCACAGTGACACTCCGCCAGAGTAACTTCGGCCTCCACCGTGACCGCCGCCGCCGGTCATCACCACAGCGAGTTTATCCGGTGAAAATACTAGAAGTCCTCCACCTAATCACCTACCCCAACAACTCTCCCTGGCTTACGCTACCCAGCGCCGCTCAACCCCCCGCCTAAACCAGGACTGCCTAAGCGCCGCCCAAGGCCGCCACCACCTTACCCGTCCCAGACCACCCAATCGTGAGTCTCCAACCCTAGCCCCTACCTCCATACCAGCCTATTAACGATGTCATAGCCCTACCCACCAGCCAACCACCTCTGTGGCGCTGCATTAAATCACAAACGCCCCGCCGCCCCGCCCTCGAATTGAACCCTAGCATTTAGATATGAAATTCGGCATGGAGTAGGGGAGGGCGACAGATGGGTCACGGACAACTGCTATGGTGGTCGACGATAAGGTTGAAGATGGTGGTGAGGTCGGCGGCGCAACTGAAGGCAGTGGCAACCATCTCGACGGCGCAACTGAGGGATGCGACATAGGGCGTCGAACGAGAAGGAAAGAGAAGCGCGCGATGTGCGAGTTGAATCATGTGCGTAGGACGTAGAGTGTGCAGAGGCATAAGCCGATAAGGTTAGTCACTTTTTGGTCTTTATTTAAATCAGTCATATTTTGGTCCAATAAAAGTCCAGCAATGATATTTGGGCCATTCTTTCAAAATTTAAATTTAAAAATTTTAAGATAAAAAAAGCATAAATTCGTTAAAACTAAAAAAAATTGTAACAAAAATTAAAGAAATATGAATTCTGAGGTTTAAAAACATAAAAAAACTCAAGTTAATACATAAAGTTTGAACACGTCTAAAAAATTCAAAATTAGTGTAAAAAGAAAATAAAAATAGAAAATAAGATTCCTTGAATTAAAAAAAACAGAAAACTAGATTAAATTAAAAGGCATGTAAAATCTAAAAACCCCGAACACATAAAAGATTTTTATTATATTATTATCACATAATTGTTACTTTTGTATATTACTTTAATTATTTTTGTTTTTTATTGTTTCTTCATATATTTTTTTGTTTATTCATAAATCCAATTTTATTAATTCAGGTGTTTTTGTATGTAGCTAAATCTGTTTTTTATTCCAAATCACTAACGAATATAATGTCAATGTAAATAGTAAAACAATGAAAATCAATAATAAAGAACAATAAGCAACATCATACAACAAAATGCAACACGATGCAATAACAAGATGCAACACACCCGATGCAAGAAAGAGAAAACAAAAAACAACATATAAAATAATCACAATGTATGTATAATTCAATCTATTATTACAATTCATTACATTTATCTATGACATCTGTGGCTTGTGATTCTCCTCACTTCTTATTCCTTTTATGTTGCTCCTTAACACAATTTATCAGATCTGTCCACCCTGTCTTCATTTTTTCTTGTCAAACTTTCTCATCCTTACATCTGCATGTACTTTTTTATTGCGTGCCTGCAATAGGGAATGCAATCACTATGACACATACCGTATTGAAAAAATGATTACAACAAACCAATAAACCTATATAACAGAAGCAGGAAAAAAAAACATCCACAACTAGAAGATAACAAAATAAGAAAAAAAGAATAAAATTGATCATTAAATCAATCAGTCTGTGAATAACTAATGAAGAGGCACACCATGTCTACTTTCAATCTTTGAAAAATATATGGAACATAAATAACAGAGAACTTCACATATCACTCTTTGCACAAAATATATGATTTGAATATTCTAGACCAAACAATTTAACCAATAATGAGATAAGAATATGTGATATATGATTCATTATTGAAAACACTACTAAACCTTGTGGAGGTCTTCATAATCGTTGACATTGATGTCAATATCAAAATCAAGCTTACATCTTTGACAACACGATCATACACAATTGAAATTTGCTTGTACCAGAATAATTTGTGAGCACCTTAAATACTTGTAAAGTCGGAATAGACCACATGCAAATGAAGAAGAACAATGCAACAAAGGAAGCAGATTAACCGTATCAAAAAAGATGATCTTCTATTTGTGTTGTAAGAGATAGAGGAAAACATCTAGATTTCTGAACCTCAATTTTCAAAATGTAAGAGATAGAGGAAAACATCAGTCTAATTTATATAATTAAACAAAAGGTTTAGTGATGTAAAAAAAGCTATAGCTATATTTGAAAATATCAGATAAAGTTGAATCTAAGAAGAAAGACATCATAATTGAACTTACATTAAGATTAAATACTAGATCCCATCACACATGAATAGTACTGTAAATATGAATCTGCCATCTAGACCTAAATGCAAAATCTATAAACAAAGCAATAAATCCAAGTCATATTGAAGATACAGTGATCAAATACACATCGGAGCAGCCAAATAAGCAGGGCGGAGGGCGGAGGGCGGAGGCCGAAGGGCAGAGCCGGAGACGCCGGAGGCGAGAGGGTGCATGTAGCGCAGGGCGGGAGGGGAACAACCACTCACATATAGTTTTCTAGCGCATCGGCCAGCTTGGGAGGCGGTGGAGAAAACAGACGCAAAATGTCGGGGCAGAAGATGAAGAAAGGGGTGAGGTCATGAGGATGATGGACGAAGAAGTGAGATGTCGGACTCTGCAATGGACTATCATTACTTTGGGGTTGAGGTTTGATTTATGATTTGGTTTATTTTTGAAATAAAAAGTTAAAAGTGAAGGTTATTATTGAAAAAATAATTATTAGGAGACATAAATGAAATGCATATATAAAAAGAGGGCCAAACGGGAAGTTTCCACTATTTCTTCTTCAATTCTAAAATATGTTTTTTTGAAAGAAAAACAACTATTTATTAATAATAAAAATGATTAGTACAAAAGTAATCCTGATAACCTAAGACTACAATGAGATGAGACATAGAACTGAATAGTTCCAGGAACATAACAATTCGCTGACCCCGCAAAGATGTAGATTCCTCTATCAACATAGAAGCTTCTACTACTCCACCAATAATCGATGATAGAAAAAGTATTCATCTGCAACAGGAAACAAACATATAAATCGTTTTCACCATCCATCGACAAGGAAATAATAGAAAATCTGGTTTGTCAAGCCACCAAAAAGAAATAACTACAACTCTTAGTATTACCAACTACTGGGAAGAAGTGTAAATATCATCGGTTTGATCGGCCACCGAAAAGAAGATCCAATCGAACATTATTTTTCTCTTATAGCACGGCGGTGGTTCAGGAGGGGGGGAGTCTTGGAGTCACCGATGTCTGAAGTTAACCTCCCAAACAAATCAACAAGGATCAGCATTGTCATCCACTAACATGAAATTTCTAACGCCCGATCAATTTTATCGACAAGGATTTGAATACACAAACCCTAGACATTGCTAGGAAGGAACCACATAAAATAACTTGAAAATACTTGTGAAAGAGACAAATTTTCATATTTAGGCGGAAAAATTAATTGAGAAGAAGAGAAGAAAGGGGAGACAACTAGGGTTTACCTTTGTCGCTCCCCAAGTCGCCCATTAGGTTTAAAATATGTTTATGATTGGTGTAAAAAGAAAAAATCAAAAACTCTCATTGAAAATTAGAAATCATACTCAATAAAGAAATATGAAAATAAATTGTAATCTCAAACAAGAAAATAGAAAATAAAAATAAAAAAGAATTACAACCAATTAAAGTATATATGTATCTTGTAAAAAGAAATTGCATAAATGGGGGTAAAACGTTTATGAATTTCAAAAAAGAACTACTATCTCTAGATAGAGGTAATTATTATCATAGTTTGAAATCAACAAACTCTATATATGACAATATTTTTCAAACATGATAGTAATTACTAAATGCTTGTAATTAGGAAACAAAAACATAGTATTCCTATATTGAAATTCTAAAATGTTCTTATTTCTATTTCGGGAGTTCTACCTTTTTAGAATATTGCCCTGAGTAGAGTAATAACAATGTGAAGTTTCAAAATATAAACAATATATATGAAGTTTCAAAATATGAGCAGTATATTTTAATTTTGTAAATAACAGCAATTCGTATCATGTTTGAAAAACAGGTCAATTATGACAGTAATATTATCATATTAAAACCTGATAATGTCAAAATATGACTGTAAAATTTTAGGATCATAATAAATTATTCATATTTAGGGGGGGATATGGCACTCCAATTTTGAAATGTTACACGGTTTATACACATATTTCAGGAATTATCTTTCTTTTTCCTTTTTTATTCTTTCTGTATTCTTTTTGGTGTCTTCTCTAT